TTTAAAGGAAGCTCTTTCATTCTATCCATATGAATTTGTTACCTGTATTTCAATCCTGTTCTCAACTGATAGAAAACTGAACTGGCTTTTAGTTGTTTATCTTCTCTAACACAGTTACCTGCAATTCCTTTTTTCGGTAAGAGTCCTCACAAACCCAAACACACTCACAGGTATGTCCTTATTCAAACAAAAGTCAGCATAATGGACTACTTATAGAAAGAACCCTCCAAACCTGCCACACCTTGCCACACTTAGAGTACACTCTTCTGTCCCAGGAAAAGTCTTCTCAGAACAATATTTTTTCTTCTTCATGGTCAGTATTATATCGCTGAAGATGATGAAAATCTTCAGGAATGTTTTACTTGATTTTACAGGCACTCTACAGAAGGCTGTAATGAAATGGCTGCTAGACAAATTAGTACAAAATAAATGAGTGACACTTTCAAGATCACAGTTTTCATTGTTTTTACTGTTGCAAGACAGCATTTGATAAACTTGTCAGAAATTCTTCCTGCCATCATACCGGGAACTTGTGCACCTCCTGTAACAAAGGAAATAATGTTCAACAGATGTTGTCAAACCTTTTGAAACCTTCTGCACCATTTTTTGGGCACTGGTTTCCAGGAAAATTTGACAAACAGCCCCTCCCTTTTGGTCTGACTATTGGCTTGTATCCTTTCCCAAATGGAGGGAAACTGAGGCAAAATGCTCATGGACAAGCCATGCTGAAGAGGGATAAGGAGAACTCTCTAAAACCTTACAAGAGCCCCCATGCCAAGATACAACAAGAAACTTCTGCCCTAAAACTAGAGGAGGGATGGGAAACTTTTTGTCCAAGGGATGCCTACACTCCACAGTTTAATTCTTTGTGTTACTATTGAATAACACTAAGGTGTCATTTGAAATACTGTCATCCTTTGAAAACGACAGAAACAGAAAAATATTTTTGAATGAACAATTGCAATTAGTGTGTTATCAGGAGGAATATTATTAGAAATAATTATTCTGTCCTTCTCACCTTAAAATATTCACCTTTGTTAATTTTTACAACAGGATGCATCCCAGCTACTTCTGGGATGGTACACTGAAATATAGCCAATCCCAACTACTGAGACCAGGAATGAAAAAAGAATGGAGTAAAACTAGGCAGTAAGTGAAAGACTAACATTATTCAAATCGTTACTTACTCTCAGTAAAAAGCTCTCAACCCTGCTCATTCCAGTGTTGCGTGGGAATAATTGCAAAATGGTAGGGCTGTTACTAGGAGGCTGAAAGACAGACATTTCCAGCAACACCAAGCCCTGGAGCAACAGCTAAGTATTAGCTAATACATGAGAAAGCCCTGGTAATGGCATTGCTGAATGAAAAATATATTGAAAAGAGGAAATGGCAGATGAAAAGAACCTTTGCTATCTCCATGCCTTCTGTGGAAAGTCCCCACCTATGAGCAGTATTCATGCAGAAAAGCCAGTACTCATATCCTCTGTTTACTTTAAAGTCACAGGTACTGATTAACTTTTCCTGAGCTTTATTTCATGCCTTTGCCAGGTATCGCCCAACTATTTCCTAAAACACGAATCCATGCAGAAGCAAATGGAAAGCAGGGAGGCTGCAGGAAGTAGGCCAGGGTTTCCACAGGCATGTTGTCGCGCTGCTGGTTCCAGCGCCAGGAGAGGCCGGCGCGCAGGCCTGTGCGCATGCACGTGCAGCTGCCTTGTGGGGGTACACTGCAGCATTGACATCCCCGCGCGGGCACACAGCCAGCGTGCCAGCACAGCATCAACCAACTCCTTCTTTTTCTCATTAACATTTGTCAAACTTGGACGGAAGCCCAGGATGCAAAATTTGGATGCAAAATTCAAAGAGCACAGAAGCTGGAAATGTTCACACACAGGCTCTTCATTTATGCTTAGTTTTTTTTATAGGTCACGCACAGATGACTTGCTTGCCCTTACTGTAACTTACAATTAGCAATACAGTGATTTTTTGTATGTTGTAGTGCACAGTAGGGCTGTATTGCCAAAAAAAAAAAAAAAAAAAAAAAAGTTTAATAGTTGGTGGACATAAAGGTTCTCCCTTTCAAGAAAAAATTTTCTCTGAAGTTCCTCTTTTGGGAGGGTGAAGAGGGGAAGGCCTTTAACGCCATCAACAGACAGGAGTGAGAATATTTTGACCAGATCTGAGAGTTGTTTATAACAGTCGTTTCTCGAACTCATTGAACTCATTCAGCTTCCTGCACAGCACTCAGCAATCTAAGTTCAAATGATTAACGTCTCAGTGCTGAAACAATGAATTCTTGGCATATGATTAAAAGCCACTGTTAAACTCTTGCGATTTCAGTGTTAAGTCACTAAGTCTATAGGAGGTTGTCTGTGAGAGAAATGGATTAAAAGGTAAAAATACAGTCCTTTGCACATTTTATCAGCACAGCAATTCATGCTATCTGCTGACATTAGAAGAGAATGGGGAGCGGGATATTATATTTATTAAAGTAAAAGGGTAATGCATGTAATCAGTCTCAAATACCCTAAGTGGCCTATAAAGAGCACCTCTAATAGAGTACCTAGCACTAAGGCTATTTCCAGTTCTCAGCAGGGCACTTACATCCTAGCCTAGACAAAAGACAGGGATATAAGACATTGGGTCACCTTATAAGGCTCACAGGTATTTCAGACCTGAAGAAACTCTAAGAAGTAATGTGATGCAAGTGTTCCTTTCCTGGAACTGTGAGGAGTACATGCAGGAGAGTGAGCTGGCTACTGATGAGCCTTTCTCAACAATATGTTTCCAAGAGCCAAGTGCCAGCTCATAGCAGGGCCACATACAAGACCGAACTATTGCAGTCCTCATGACAAGGACAAAGCCCATGGCTTCTCTAACCAAAGTGAGCAAAGGAAGCTCCTTTCTCTCTGCACGATTTCTGGGTCTGTCTATGGGCTGTTTCTACCTGGCTTCTAGGTAAAATCTGACAGTGACACTTTGCCTCCATGCTGATGCTCCAGAGAACTGAAAATGTTAAGAGACCGTGGAAGAGGACAGCTGGATACAAAAGTTAACTCTTGTGAATAGTCCTTTCCTAAATCCTCTCCAGATGAAGACAGACTTTTTTATAGAACAGCTTTACGTGCATCCTACTAACTTAGGGACATCTTTGTTTTGTTGGTCTTCTGTTCTGACACTGCATAGATGAGCAGTGCAGGAAGTAATGTGAACCAAGTGATTTAATTTTAATGTGGCTTCTGCTTCCTGCACTGATTCAGCAGTGGAATAATTACACGGATCTTTGCTTCTCTAGAAGGGCCTTTCAGGCTGCTTGTGACAGGCCTCACTGCTCTCCTCTGCTTTTAAGGAAGGTGGTGTGGCCACTTGCTGAATCAGTAAGGCTACTTTCAAAGCAGGGTCAAGTGCTTTTACTGTCTCAATGGGCAAATGCCACTCTTTGCCACATGACAATTAAATGCCACACCACTCCTGAGAACACAACAGAAGTGTTCTACTTAAATGAAGGCAGTTTCAGACAGTACCTTTAAAAATCAATTCCAGATGATTAGCACGATATTTAGAACTACTTTGGCACAAAGGAGGCTTTTCTTCTGGAGATTTTTGTCACATTAGAGGGTTTTTGGCCATGCTTGTCTTAACAGATTCACTTCTAATAGAATTAAAAGCTCAGTTCATAAGGAAAGGTTTTGATTAATCATGTTTGTTACATTAGCATGAAGGAGGAGTTTTTCAGGAAAGTATTTACACAACACAACACTGCAATCCAAAAGCATCGGTGAGCTTCATTGCAGGCAATGCAAAAGGGAATTGCTTTATATTAAGTTGAAGTAAAGCCACTGTTAAAGTAAATATGCAGTAGCAACAGCACCTAACAAAGGGAACATGAATAATAACTTTTCTAATTTCAGCTGAATGTGGGAGGATATAGGTAGGCAGCAAAAGGAGCTGGAAACCAATTTCCAATGTGATTCATAGAGATTTTCAGCAGTAGCTTGCACAGGTAAATTCTAATAGTCGACATTTACAGATAGCTTTCACTTATTAAAATCCAATAGGTTTAGGGCTTTTTCTTTTTGGCAAATGAAATACTGAAGCACAACAAACTTACACTGGCTCATAGCACTGACTTTGTCAAGTATCTTGACTTTCAGACACAGAACTGATCCACTGATTCTGCAAAATACTGCTCACCTTTAAGTGAGACAAATTATTTATCAGATGAATGACACAGCCTGCAGAAATTAGGCGAGGATTTTAATGCAACTGGAATTGTACTAACATCGTTCATAGCTCATGACCAACCAGAACCAAACGGATGTACTAGTACGTTAATAAGGTTATTTCTTTGCTCCATACTCCTTCATTACCACTAACATCTAGAATCACTCCCTACCTACACATTTACTAAGACAAAGCAAGCTCCCTGTTGCCATTACATTACCAACCCCTTCCTCCTACATTTTTTTTCTCATTCTGTATTACTCAACTAGATTTGGCAACATTTTTCCTTCACAGAAATCAAAAGTGGGTGTTCTGACACAAGAACAGAAAGCAAGAATAATCCACATTATGTCCACAGAGCTCTTCTAAATACTATAAATGAAAGCAGCATTTGACCCAATGCTAATATAAAGTGATTCTGAAACAGTGATGGCACATTTCAAAAAATTAGAAAGCCAGGAGTAATTTCCAAACAATACTTTTCACCTTCTTTGGTCTTATATAGATTTTGATATTGCTGTTGCTGTTAGAGTCTTGCAGCTGATTACAGCTTTGACCCAGCCTGTTAGAAAGGGTAAGGCTGTATTATTTCAGCATCATCAATTAAACACTTTATCTAAATGTATGTAAGTGGCAATGACAGACATTTTACCTTCCTTTCGAGTCCTCTGCAAGCAATTTCCTTTCAGCACTGCAGAGTATCAAGATTACAGGCTGTCAGCAGCATTCTACAGACTTTCACACTACATAACATTCTCCAAAGAAATATAGACATCTTCACTAAGAAGAATTTATTTCATGTATTTGGAAGAAATATGCAGTAAATCTTTACAGCACAAAACTAAGCATGGCTCCCTCTTGAGTCTGAAGTGTGCATGTTACTTCTTAAAAAGTGCATCTTTTAACAAGCATCTTGTTCAAAAGGAACAGGAAAAACAATCCTCCTACTCCAACAAAAGCAAATCCTCTGAGCTCACAAAAAAAGCAAACGGTAGAAAACTGCATTTTTGGCAAACCGAGTCAGATCCAACCAATTTTAATAGGCACCTACTGTGGCTTCTGGAATCACTGTTGCATGTATATCTCTAGTCATATTGGATTTCTCTTTCAGCTTTGACTGGAGCAATGTGTGTTCCATCACACCAATCTGTATGTCCATCTGAATGGTTTCTTGCCTCAATTTTGTTAAGGCCTGTTTAATCTTCACAAGAGGAGCTGTCCAAAAAAAGATAAACAGTACAACTCTGTCAGCCACCTAACACAAAAGCATTGTTTGCAGTAATTCACTCCTCAAAATTGAAGAGCTGAATGAACAAAAGGGTGTTCTACTCTAAAGACATGATTGTACTGATACATCATTTTTAATATGCAAAACACTTTAAAGACAGAAATAGGCAATGACAATGTTGCTGTCTTCTTGACATCTAAGAGCTTCATAAAAATGTGCATCAACATTAAGACAGGCTTTTTAATTATGTACTTTGCTCAGCTGAAACCTTACCCCCATACCTGACTTGAGGTTTGGTATAGAACTGAAGACACCTTCAGCAAGGTGTGAAAATCTTACCTGTGAAAAGCTATTAAAATGTTTCGTGCCCTATATTTTGTTTCTAATCCCTCCCTTCCCACTAATACGATTTTGCTCCTTGTAATTGCTCTTATTTTAATGAAGTACATATCATAAAACTGTCACCAAGAAAAAGGATATGTTGTCTGAAGCAAAAATGTACTTACCACCATCAGTCATACTGCTTCCTTTCTCTTCTGTTTCCTGCTTTACTTTCTCTAATGCTTCTGTAACCTTAAAATAGATTTTTTCTTAATTAAACCAGATGAATATTGAATTTAAAAAGTCTCTGTTGAATAACTGTTTTTATTTAAAAATTTTAACTAATCTATCTTATTTGTTATATGAAGAACGATTTTTCAAACATTCAAAAATTCAGAAACTTTAACTAAAGTAATGTTGTAAAAAATTACAGAAAAAGGGTACTAATTTGACCCAACACCATGGTGTTATTGAAAATCTATGCACCCCCAATAAAAACAACAATATAAGTGTTTCAATGTGACACTGGACGGAAGAACAAAGGAACCAATATCCCTACAGATCAAGATTCATCATATAACCATGCTCGCTGCCCTTCAGATGCCCAAGCATCAGGCCTTCAGCATGTTACACTGTAAACATGAGAAACAGCACTGCAGCAAAAGAAGGTGCAGCAGTCCAGCCTGCTGGCACTGGCACGGTACAGATATGTAAAATCCACATATGAAGAACAAAAGTGCATTTCAACACTTCTAGCAACCAGTTTGCCTATGTAGACAATGAAAAGAAGCAAATATATGATTCTAAAGTATAGCCAAGGCAATAATTCAGTATTCTACTCTATAATGTGAAAATAGCCCTTTCATTAAGGCTTCAATAAGCCTTTTCAGCAGCAAAAAGGAATCCCTGCTGCATTGTTACTGCATTCCTGCAGTGGTAATGGTATTGCCAGGTGGGCTGAGGTCTGAAAACAGATCAGTACTAACATCCAATGTGTCTGTTTTACCTTAGACATGTACCACTGCACCTAAGCAGTTTGAGGGATGCCAGCTAGTAACATATTCACCATTACTTATCAGTCAGTCAGCTCCCAAAGCACACGCTGTAAATCTGAAGTCATCACAAAATACTTTTTCAAACTTATGTCTTTGAGAGTGAAATAGAAGCAGCTCTAATTCTGCAGAATTCATGCATTCAGAAATCTTTGCTAGAAAACTCACATTAAACTGCTGTATTTGGTGATCACTGTAGGTCCCTTCCAACTCAACTAATCTATTCTGTTCTAAAACATCTCAAACTTGTTGTACAATTTCTAACACATTCTTACTGTGTGACCTATTTTATGCAACTGTTCCTGAGACTTTATTGTCTAATAAATAAAGTTGGTTTCTAAAACCCAAACAGAATTGGATAAAGAGTTGAAGTATTTGGAAATTGGGCTATAATTCTAAATAAAAAACCATGAAACACTTAACATGGGGAGGCACTTAGGAGACAGGAGATGTTTATTAAAATTTGGCAGAGCATCAATATAAAGGAAAAAGAAAATCTGCAACAGAAAACCAGATTTAGGTAATAAGATAATTTGATGTATGGGAAAAAATTGCTAGTCAAATATTGCTTTTAAGTGCCTGGAAGATAAAATTTTGAAATTGTTAATTTTAACTAAAAATAAGAGTTAAGCTTTTCTTCTTCCAAAGAATTTATAGGCATGATTAATAATCCCCCATAATTCTAGGACACAGGTTATAAAATACAGAACATTTACCTTCATTTACAAACTGAGCTCACATTTCACGAGCTGAAAATCAATGGCAGCCTGGATTTAAAATTTAGGGACTGGACTAGTTAACCTACCCCAAACAAAGAATAACATGAGAAAACAAATCAAAAAGAACTGGATTCATTAAACTGCAACCACTGAAGGCCAACCTTCTGAAGACTGTTTTAAAATAAGATGTGTTTTACCTCAGAAAGCACTCTAATCCTTTCAGTTACTCCTCCACTTCCCTCCTGGTACTTCTCTTTAGCCTGGAAAGAAACATTCTTTGCTGTAATGACAGAGTTGAAGAGATGTATGCAGATAGCTCAGAGAAAACTTCAAGACTTGCTCTCATATGTTCCAATTCCAGAAACGCTCCCACAAAGCCCCAGTGAGGTTTACAAATGAGGACAGGCTTGAAACATCAGCCCCTGCAATGACTATTATTCAAATATGTAAAACAGTAAATAGTCCAAATACACACTTGGTAAGAACTATATTTTCTAATCATTTATGTGAGGTTGCTAACTCCAACAATTTACATGAAGAAAATCTGCCATAATGCAGAAAAGATTGAATACTGAAATCCAGAATAATACTTCATCAACAGTAAATTACTATCTCGAAGATACCTTAACAACAAGGCAAACGAAGGTGCAGAGGTCAAATTCTGTTAGCATTATTGTCAGTATGGTCACAACCAGGAGGGCTTGCCAAAAGGCAGACGATAATGGCTCCTTAATAGGGGATCAAAAAGCTTCTCAGACAACACCCTATTGGCATAAAAACTAAATGAAGCAAAGAAGTAATCAGAGTGCTTTGTGCACGTTAGCACCAGTACTCAATCTAAGGGATGAATGCTGGACTGAGACTGTAGTTTTTCCCCTCCTGACAGATGTGTGAACTTCACAGGGAAAGCAGAAGTAGCAATTTACTAGCTGCTCAAGACTGGCAACAGCTACACATAATATTCAAGCAAAACCATCTATTTTCCCCTGCAGAACAGTTGAATAAAAATTGCTAGTTTAGCTTAGGAAGAACATAATTTGACAGCCAATCAACATTTCCCCTGCTTTAAATCCAACGGCAGAATTCATAGATAGCTCACTCTATGTCATCTTTGCCTCCACCCTCATTTATAAGCAAGTTAATCCTGGAGAAGGCAACAACAAAAGATCAGCAATACCTCACTCAGCAAGGCTTGTGCTGAACGGTATTCTTGAACCAAGTGCTCCAACTGATTGTTGATGTACTTTTCCCTGCTGTTGATCTTTTCCAGTGTTCTGCTGATTTCATTATGGAGTTTGTCAAGGTAACCCTAGAAAAACACATTCTGTGACAGTATACAGACAGTATGCAAACAATATCAAAATGGTGCTGTAGTTAAGAAAGGTTATGGAAGCCTACAGAGAGAGAGAAAAATAGTACAGAAATACTGTGTTTAGCCAACAAAAAATTATTCCCAACGTGTTCTGGTTTGCCTACCTCCTTTGCACATATTTCAGTCTTTACTGAAATTACTCTCCCCTCCTCAATTAATTACAAATGTCAATGTCAGTAAGCTACTCTAGCAACAGTATTTGAGAGTATTTTGGGGTTTTTAACACCACCTTCAGATTGTATTTTTCTCTTTTTTCCTTTGTAGTCAGGATGTACTTATGATAACGTATTCATTACTGAACCCTGATAGCCCTGTTAATCCTCACACATACAACTCTTTCCCACAAGGTATTTTGCCACCAGCATTGTCCTTAATGATCATTGTCATATCTTTCCCTTTTTAATTTTACAGCAATAGCACAAATAAAACGAAGAAAAAAAAAGACCACTAGTTCTTAATACATGTCAAATAAAAGAGAAAATAAAAATGTTGACAGATTAGTAAAATATTCTCTACATGCAAGACATACCCTAGTTTCTTTCAAAGAAGAATCAATTCCATCCTTATGCTGATGCATTTGATCTACATGAATCCTCCAATCCTAAAAGAGACATCACAAATTAAAACACAGGTAACTACAACTTTTATCCTTCTCTGATTACTGAACAACAGAAGGTATGCAAAGCAGGGTCAGTTATCTTTTATACTATTGCCATGTATCATCCTGCCACTGCCACGTTCATAGCCAGGGGCACTGGCTCAATGTGACACAATTTATAAATCTCCTAAATGTCACATGTGACACTCAAATCCATAAACAAACATAGACATCCTCACTGATACCACAGTAGCTATGCTTTTTAGAATCTGATCCTCATGGAACTGTTTCTGCTGGAAACCACTCAGGGCACAAATACTAAAAATATTGATTGTAGCTGCACTAGTTCAGCTTATTCTTACACAAAATGAGTGCTTTTTGATGCCCAACCTACCAGAACCTACCAGTTCTGGTCTATCTGTTCTTTCCCTTCTATTTTAGTCCTTACTGTAACCAGGAGAAGAATGGAAAGAAATGAAAGAGTCAGAAATACCAAAATTTGGTTTTGATAACAGGATACAATTAGAAGGGGGAAAATTATTTCCAGCTTCAAGATCATAGGAAACATATATGGACTCTGGGGTGAGGGCTGAGAAAAGGTGCTGTGAATTGGCACTGCACACCAGGTAATGAGCCACTAGAGAAAATGTGCTTACATTGTGTTTCAGGTTTGCAGGAGACTCACGAGCTCTTATTGATTTGGTGAAAATTTATTCACAATTAGCCAAACTTTGGAGTTTAAATAAAAACAACAGGCACACAATCCACACCCACCTCTGTCCAGGACTTTACAGTAAGTTCTAGTTTCTAGTGCCATTGATTAAACTATTAAAACTCTCCTGGTACTATGTTTACATACACAGCTTAAGAAACAGAATATCATGTTTTCTGGTAGAATGGAAAAAGGCCAAACACTTCTCTCCGATTATTTCTGAAAGAGGCTAGAAGAATAATCATCTTTTCATGTTCATTTTGACATATTCCTTAAGGCCAAGAGATGGTACATTAAGCTAGAAGCTAGTAAACCTCAGATCCTACAGTGGCTTTAATTTTTCATGTATGTCTTTATTAAGTTTTAATTCCTCACTGTGAGACTCAAGCATCATGTTCTCTGCAACAGATGGGCTTACTGAGGATCACAGAAGAGTGGGTCGAGCCAGGCAATTCTTCACAGAGAAAAATGCAGTACGGTGTAAGACAGGCAAGCAGCTCAGCAGACAGTTGAAAGTTTCCCCTATTTTTGGCAAGATAATTGTCTTTTATTGTATTCATGTGTATGTATTGTATTGCTATATCAGTGCTGCAGATTGCTCCAACACCCCCAACTACCTGGGTCACTGCAAATGAACAATTTCAATACTGCACTGATCTGTGTGTGCTATACAAGCTTCCTAGGAAGAATGCTTATGGCAATACCAGGAGCAGGTTTTAGGTTTGGACTTGCCAAAGAAAAATGCCTACTTTTAAGCTGCTCATCATAGATTTCTTGAAATTGACTATGGAGAGAAATACACAGTTCTAAGACATGATGGATGAATTTCACCCCGAGACAGTTACCAGGATATGGTGAGCAAAAGCAGCTGAAAAAGTGCTCACTTCTTTTCACTAAACATAAGGAGAGTTCAGGATGACTAGACCAGAGTACAGATCTACCTTACAGTCATGTAAAGTTCACCAAGAGGAATTCCATACAATCAGCCTTTCATGTGGTTGAAAATGGAAGGGTTGAAAGGTAAGACCATCAGCTGTCCTCCAAGAAGATGTTTTAACAGTTGTTAAACTGAGGATATAATTTTTTAGAAGTGTGAATACGTTGGAAATGTCAGAGGACTGACAAAAATCCCCACTGAATAAATATATAGAAATAAGGTGCCTTGTAAGGAGCAGGAAAAAAATATGATATTGAAAAAGCACCTTACTGAAAATTATTGCTTCTAGGGTCAAAGTAACTGACAAAGGTTCAGACAAGGTAGCACTGGAGAGCCCATTACTCACAGGTCTTAGCATGACCAAAGACATCAACTGCAAACAGAAAGTAAACAGCACCGACTGAAATCACATTTTAATCACCACGTGTACACAGACAAATCCATTCTTCCATACCTTATTGTCAGTCCTGACCGTGACTTTCAGCTGTGGAAGCACACGTTCCACTTCCAGATTCCACTCTGCTACATCTGTTGTGGATTGTAAAATCTCTTCTTGCTTTGGAGTGTCATTCATGTTCTGTGTAAAAATCACGAAGTTTATACACAAAATACCATTGTTATGCACAGTGAGAACTGTTAGAAATCACTAATGGTTTGCAGTGTTAGTATTAAAAAAATATTTATATCCAGAATGATCTAAACTACAGATTAAACAGATTTCTTTAATGGCTTTCTTTGAATTCATAAAGAATTAAAATAAGTATATCTTCTCATCATACTTAAAACTGAAAACAAATATATATATAAAGAAATTATAATACATTTCAGAAATAGTGTATGCACATGGGATTAAAATATACTCATGAAACTAATACCATGTTTCTCTAAATACTCTGCAAAAAAATTCTTGCAAATGTTCCCAGCAGCCCCGCAGTGATACCAGTTTAGAAACTGGCTGCACATTGTTCTTTCAAAATAATATTAATATATAATATCCGATTCATTTCAGATGGAGTGTTTTTTCAAGTAAAGACTACACAAGGATTTTTAGACTCAATAAATGTAAAAATCTCTCAAGAGAGGACTGATGGGTAACAACTTACTGATCTGTACGTCTGTGCCTTTAAAACATCCAGGTCAATATAATTTTCTTCATTGTCTGACTCTTCTTCCTTAAAAGAAGTTTCAAAGTAAGACTTCAGTAAGTATTGTACAATGTTTCTCCACGATTTTATTTTGCAGGAGCACAAACCAAAGAGTATTAAGTTCCATATTTCTGAACAAAACAAGACATGGAGAATTTATGATATGGAGTTTATGGAGAGACACAATACCTAGGACAAGCTAAAGATCAAAGCTACCCCACATTTCCTTCGGAGCACCACAGTATTACAGAAATAAACCAACCAACTGACAAACCCCAAACCCTAAAGCTAAGGCCTCTAACATCAAATGGCCCATTACCAATAGCTGTATGGTAATTGTATTTTTAAATGTATTTCTTAAAGCTCTACCTTAAAAATAAAATCCCATCATAACAAAAACCAAACCACAACCAGATCTCAACATAGTTTTCAAGATGTTGTTTGCACTACATATTTGGGGTTACAGAATGATCTTCAGTGTGCAGAATAACACAACTGAAACTGAGGCAATTGTTTTTTTCTTGCCCATGAGACCACGCAGTCTGCTCACGTACTCTGGAACTGGTATAGTCTCCAAATTTCCTCCAATCAGCTGAGAGCCATCACCTGTAAGTAACAATGCTTTTTCTGTGCATTAAACTTTATTTATCTATTCTGTATTTCATCTGCCATTTTATCACCCCTACACTTCACTCTTATACACCTTGGCCCACTCTTGACTGCCTTTTTCACCAAAATTTTTCCAAAATGAAATTTTTTCATCCACCTTCTTTCTAAACAAATCATAAAAGCTGCAGTAACACAGGTCTTAGGGTAAAATGGGTCAAGACTCAGTGAAAACCTTGGAGTTTATTCCTCTTTCCTCTACTTTACCCAGTTTTTAACTAATGGGGACCACTATTTTCTTCTGGCATGTCTGACCCCAAGTCCTTTGAATACTTGCAAGAAATGAAGACTAGATTGAGACTATCTTTTGCTAAATGGACAATATATATTTGTGCAGCATTTAAAAGAACATACCACCAGAACAAGAAGACTGGTTATCAGAACTGAGAAACAAAACTGTGCAGATTTCCTTGCACACCTAGCCTCACTGCCTACTGCTGGCCACCTAATAGAGACTATCCCATTCCCCAAGACTTACAGAACTAGGCTTGTCTCTATCAGCCTCATAATTTCTATTCAAAAGAATCAAAACCAAAAAACAATTAATGAACCTCATCATTAGCATTTAATTGCTGGAAATACTGCTAAATTCAATTATGGATACAACTAATATCAGTATATTGGCAGCAACAACAGACTGGGCAAAAAAAAAATTACATTGGCATGTAATTAATCCCTGTAGAACCACTAGGAGCTCTAAAAAAATGAGTATTCTTTTGGTATAAACTTCCTGGTAATGTAATACCTAGTAAAGGAATAACAGCTCAGTGGTTTTATTAACACACGTTCCAAAGAGATAACAGAACACGTTAGTTGTGAAAATCATGGAGTAGGACAATACCTGAGAGCAAATCAAGAGGTTCTTTGAAGGATTTCAACTGTGCTTTAGTTAACTGTTTCATTCCCACTTCCCAATTTAAGCAGCTTAGACCTTAACAAGATATAGACAAGAGCAGGTAACTGTTTTCCTATTTTAACCCTTCAGTTTAACATCAAGAGTAGATTTATCAGTAGAAAAAAAACAATTCTGAATCTCCATGTTTTTAATGCACAGTTAGATTCCACTGCACATAAGAATATACGTTCTGTCTTGAAGACTTAATCTCACTTGAAAAGCAACAAAACACTCTACAGAGAATCTGACAATGCAGGAATGGAGCTGCAAGAAAAATCCTGAACAGCTATTTGAAAAGAATTCTTAAACAAAGCCAAACAAAATGAACAGTGAATAAAAACTTCCTCATAGTTGACCAATACTAATATAATCAAAACCAATCAAATAAACCTACTGCAACATCCTCTTCCAATCTACTAAGTGTTAATTCTGCATCATCTTCTGTTATTTCTTCTTCTTCTGGCTCTTCTGTTGGGTATGCTGGCCTGAAATTAATTCAAAGAACAGCAGAGCTTTTAAACACAATAAACTGCAAATACCTCTGCAAACAAAACATTTCATGAGAAAAACAGATGATGTGGAACATACCTAGACAGTAATTGGTGTTTCACAACTTAAATAAATATACACTCAACCTTGAAAGTCTTGTTCATCTTGAACCGTCTTAAAATTAAAGGCAGTACAGTACATTCACACTACAAAGTCATTCAGAAAGTAAATTCTGGGGTTTTTCCTCTATTGGTCTAAGCTCTTGAAATGCAAGTGCAAGTCACCATAGGCTTATTTTTCAGCCTACAGTAGAATTTGCACACTAAAGAAAAGTAATAGTAAAACATTTCCAAGGTAGAATTTACTTTGTTATGTCCATTTCAAGACCCATCAGAGGAAAAGAATGAAATAAAGAACACTAAAAGTGACATTTTCATATACTCGAGATTATCTGTCATCTAGTTTGTCCTAAGATTTTCTTCAGACTAAATAAAATTACTCTAGTCTACTTGTAACATGATCATACTGTGCATAACTCCAGGAATTTACTATTGATTGATAGAACCTAAAAGGACATTAAATGTTTCAACTCAAATATCAGATTAACAAGGAGTTACGTGTAGGGAAATAACAAAAAATAAAATTCATCAGTTAAACCTTAATTAACTAAGTGTATAATGGTCCAAACTCAGCCTTGCTGGTAACAGGCCAGTTGTGTGAAATTGCATTAGGAATTAATTGGTTGCCCTGCTTTAAGCCTAGTTGAATTTTCCAGCTCGTGAAATGTCAAGTAAAACGTTTTTAGTCATTCCTATGTTTTATTTTACCACTACAACTTACAACTGATTGCTGGAAAACAATGCATAAGGGAGGATGCTTACAAGTGTACTGTACCTTTTCCAGCTAAACCCAATGTACTTCAAGGCTTCTTCAGCTAAACAATCAAGGACATAGCACACTTGCTCTCCGCAGCCTGTCTTTAATTTTGAGGGAGGAAAATCCACAGTCCTTCCCTAAAATAAAGAGACAAGTTGTTTATTAATGGCCTAACAACCCAAATTTCCTCATTAGGGAGATAAGTTTTTGTACTCTAAAAATAAAGTGTCCCTTGTCTATGAAGATTTTATTAATGACAATTTCCATTCTTCACCTAGGCAGCCCCAGAGAGGCAACAGAAGGAAAAGCGAAGCCAAGGAACAGATGCAGTGTAGAAATCTCTAAGCACGTGGTACGAGGATACTCCCAGGGAGCAGAAGAGGCAGAAGCCATGAGTGACAAGGCAAGGTAAGAACAGCTACAGAGAAACTCAGATACTGAGACTTAACTACCAACTTTTCAACAGTGCCCTGTTTGCTCCAGATTTTATTTATGAAATATTTTATTGCTGTCATGCAGAACAAACATAGTAGTCTGTTATGGCTTAACTCCTTTAGGGAACAGTGTCCTTAACAATATTCACAGCTGCACCAGAGTATAATCTTCTATATGATCATGCTTCTTGTCAGTTGATACATTCTCCTAACCTTTGGGGGCTTTTTTCCCCTTCTTTTATTTTTTTTAATTAAAAGAAAATCTCAGTAGTTCCTGACAGTTTGTGCAACTTTTTACTCCTTAAAAAAAAAAAAGAGAAAAAGAGAAAAAAAAAGAAAAAAAAAGAACATGAACACTATTCTTAGTCATTTCCTACACTACAAATTAAGTCATTGGCTTTGGCAGGAGCAGGATCACAAACTGTGTAAACCTTCCAGATAAAATCTCTGAAAACTATGCTACTATAAATGAGCAACATATGTGGCACTATAAAAGGTAAGCCTGGTTTAATCCATTTTACAGACTGCAGAACAAAACTAACTGGAATCATTTTATAAGACCATTTTTGTAGCGCTAAAAAAATCATCGAGTAGGTACAGCCTATGTAAACTTCCTATTGACTAAGTAACATAGTACAAACGGCTAGGAAAGGTCCTCGGGAGCAGAGCCAGCAGGAGAGCAGCGTGAGGCTGCTGTTATTTCCGAAGGGAATGCCGGTGTTGTTGATACCGAAATAGTGAGAAAAAGGACTAATGTAGATATAGTAGTAGTCATGCTAAGGCTTAGAAAACTGCAGTTCTCGGACAGGCCCTGGGAACCAGCCCTGGGAATGAGCTGGGGACTGTGGAAACAATAATTAAAGATAATTAAAGAATTTAGTGGAGCATATAGAACATTTAGAAACTTTCAGGATAAGGCTAAAGTATAATAATAAATAAAGGGTTCTGGTGATGGGAAAACATGCAAGGGGGAATTAAAGGGGGGTAGCCTATAGTTTTGAATAGACAAGCATGCAAAATTTATAACTTTTAGGAATGATATCTACAAGATTTATGTATCTGTATTGTCTTGAAGAATGTGTACCTCTGCACGTAGACTACTTTGTAAAAAGGTATAAAAAACTTGACGAAAAAGGGAACTGTGGGACCCTGACTTTGGACGCTAGTCCGCAGGTTCCCGGGGCCCTGAAAAAAGCACCGCATAAACTGACACTCTGTTAGTTTGTGTTCTGTTTGGGGCATCGGGCAACATTTGCAGCACACTGGGGAAGAGAACCCGCGTGGCACTCACCAAGGACCGCAGCTCCGAGAGCACGTTTGAAATCACCGCGTTGGGGTCGTCGCTCTCCTGCGGTTGCTCGAAGCGATGTCCCGCTTTGCTGATCAGCCAGGCGGCCAGCGTGCAGAACATGAAGAACTGCTCGCCGGGATTGGTGGGTAGCGCAAAGTAGTGCCTGTTCAAAAAGGGGACACATGGGACGTATTGTAACCTTCTGGAGTTCTTACAACTTCACAGGTAAGCACAAGCTACAGAGCAGTTTCTTTACCCAGTTTTCTCAATGAGCAACCCATCTGAACTAAATTCAGGATGCTTGGTTTCACACGTAACCACAGCAGACCAAGTTTTCTACACCCAATTTGCTTATTTCCAGTTTTGAGTAAGTTATTAGTCAACACCAGACTTGGCTGCCAAGTTCCCCAAATCACCTCTCCTTCACACTTTCCTCAAGAGACGTAAGAGGAATAGCATTCCTACATCTGCAAATTCAGCTCAGATCAGGAGCATGTTTTGAAGTGATCCTCCACCTGTCCTTATGTACTGTGCTTTGTAGAGCAATGAAAACTGGATCTGATTTGGACCACACCAAATTCAAATATGTGGACCTAACAAGAATTCAGTCCATAAAACCAGACCACAGTTATTCCCACCAAAGTATAAATTACATGCACACTGGATACTGGGAACCAAATGCTTCCCTGTACCGACACAGCTACTCACTAAGGTACACAAAGGTTTGTTGCCCTACTCCAAACATTTCGATGGTCCAAGAGCAGGCTAAAACCAACTGACAGCCACCATGCTCACACTTTAGCCTCCTTCTTAGAAAGGGAATAACTTGGACTCCCTTACCACATTGTTGCTTAGAAAAAGCTTAATTCTATAATCCTTAACTTTCCACCCTGCTGTGAAGCCTGGCTGAAACTGACAGACAGGTTTAAAAGTTATTTGGGCAGATGGATTTTGAGAGCACATTAGTCCTGTTTCCCAGGCTTCCTGTCTCCCACCATAATTTAAAAAAAAGACATAAAAAACATGACATACGAAACAAATATGTATGGATAGAAAATCCCAGCCTTACCAACAACAGGTCCAAGACCCTCTTTGTAAAGGGTTAAAGGGTCGCAAAATATACACACCCCACGAACAGCTATTCTGAATTCCAGATATTTGGAGTTACTTAGAATAACTTAGAATTTAGGTAGAGCTATTTTCTGGGGAATAGGTAGAATTATTTCTTGCACAGCTACCCTGGGATGCAGATACCCAGTACCTGCCGCGGGCAGGGATGGTCAAGGGAGTATTTACTTATCGCATCTCAGCCTTTCGAGGGGCCTCGCGTTCTGAAAGCTTCCAGCTCACACGGGAAGCTTTAGTAATGGATAGTTTCCCCTTGGGCCAGGCAGGCTGCCATGTGGATGCCATCCCACTTTCCTCCCTAGGCTCTGACAGCTGCCGGGATCCCTTCGCAGGGATTCCTTTGCAGAGATTCCTTCCTTCCCCCCGCCGCCACGCCAGCACCCTGCCGGCCAGGGCCGGGAGGAGCCGCGGGCCGGCAGCACCTGGAGAGAGGCCGCATGTTGTGGCGCCGCAGCACCTCCTCCTCGTAGTTCAGCAGCTTTAGCTTGTCCAGCAGGTCCTCCATGAGCACGAACATGTGAAAAGCCGCGCCGGGGCCGCGCTCGGCCGGCCCTTCCTCGGCCCGCTCCCCGCGCCGGCCCGCGCCTTCTTCCGCCATATTTACTCGTAGCCATAGCGACAGGGGCGGGCTCAGGAGCGGTGACGGCCCACACAGTCCCGTCATCTAAGTTTTCGCCTCAAAGCTGCTCAGCGATTTACTGGAATTTCGGCAACTTTTACACTGTCCTCCCTTGCCGCAGACGGACTTCGGAACACCTCGCTCGGTGTAGGTCCGGATCATCAGCAGCTGCAGCTCACGGGCTGAGGTGCGGAGAAGTGAGTCTGGGTAGCCCAGAGTGCCGCGGGTACTGGCTGGGAGCGCCGTGGTTCGGGGTGGGGAAGGCAGCAGGTGGGAAGGCCCCGTCTCCCGGTGGGATTGTGCATGGCACTGGCGAAGCACCTCGAGGGCTGTGTCCAGCTCTGGATGCCTCGCTACCCGACTGACTCTGAGGTGCTGGAGCGTGTCCAGAGAAGGGCAGAGAAGGGAGCTGGTGAAGGGCAGTTCCCCTGAGGAGCCCCTCAGGAAAGACTTTACCACTTTACCACTCTTTTTAGTTGAAAGGAAGTTGTAGCAGGTGGCAGTCGGTCTGTTCTCCCTGTTAACAAGAGGACACAGCCTCAAGCTGCGCCAGGGCACATTTAGATTGGATACTGGGAGGAATTTCCTCACTGAAGGGGTTTTCAGGCATTGCAATGAACTGTCCAGGGACCTCACCATCCCTGAGAGTGTCCAACAAAGACTGGACGTATCACTTAGTGCCATAACCTAGTTGAGAAATTAATTCATTCAAAGGTTGGACTCGATGGTCTCAGAGGTATTTTCCAACTGAAATGATTCCGTGAATGCAAGAATGTATGCTCCTAGCACCAGCCAAAGGTCATTGAGGGGAGACACCCCTTCTTGCCACTTCTTCCTGCGTTTTGTTTGCTTTCCCGAAAATACTTGAGTCATTCTGTTCTGCTGGAAACCAGGTGGCGCACACAAGACTTGAATTGTCCAGGAGAGAATAAGTCAGTGTTAAAATATTGTTAGAAAATAATTACCTAACCTAGCCCTAGGCGCCTACTTCTTGTTCATGCTCTGCTGAGCCCACAGAGATCTGAGCTCTATCTCTGTGCCGGGTTCCTGCGCTCTATCCCGTAAGAGAATTGCCGCTGCCGCCCCGAGCGCATCGCGACTGCTTTAAACCATATATTAAATGGTATTTCTTACCTATTTCTTTTCAGAGACTGCAGGAGTTTTGGGCTTGCCAGCAAAGGAAATGGTTAAGAGAAAAGGTTTTATAAGCCCAAAAAAGGAATGTAAAAGGTGTGAAATCTTCGGGTGTGTTGGATCGTAGATCTCACTGTAGAAACAGCTGCTTCCCTTTATGTTAGTTACTTAGAACTTGCATGTAAGTTACTTGAGCCCTGTGCCATGTGGGTGGGGGGCTCAAAGTGCAGCTGGAGAGAGGCAGAGATCAACAGGGAGAGAGATTGTGGAACTTTCTTCCACTGGGAGCATTTCTCAACAACTGAAGTATGAAGCATGTAAGTTGTAAGGGTTTCATTGTGGGGAGGCAGATAATTTCTTGGTTTTACTGAAGGAAATCCTCTGAAGATTCAATGAGGAAATTCTAGAAAGCCAGTATCAATGTGGCAGGTAAGAGATTTTAACAGGATGTCATTAACATGTGTTTTTGAGAATTTCGCATGTTTGTTTTTCTTGTTTCCTTGTTGTTAAAAATGAAAATCTGGTATTTCTCAGTGCTCGTGTTTGTATGCTTGAAATGTGTTGTTCTTAAGTTGCATTGAAAAGGAATTAATCAGAATCCTTTGTACTAAGAAATGTATTATTTGAAAGGAGGATATTTCAACATGCATATCTGTTCTCAAAGAGGTCAACAGAGGAAAGTACACTGAGCAGCCACCAACTCCGATGGCTGTTTGCTGCAGGAGTGCTCTGGTCAGGTTTCAACTTGAATGCAGAGCTCAAAGTTTGGTCACTGATTAACAAGAAAGAGAAAGTAGTTGAAAAAAGTGTTCTTATCCTGTAGTGGCCAAAGCAAATGCAGCATTCCTCCTACCATTATTTGAGCTGTTCAGTATGTCTTTGGAGATGCAGTCTAGCACTTGCCTTGTTCTCAGAACCCTGGCTGAACTGCTTTCCAGTTGAGCTTGTGGTGATTCTGTATGAAATAATTCTCCTGAAAATTAGACCATCAGTAACTAACATGACTACAGTGATCTTAAGTCTGGTTGTGCACTGTCTGTATATATCATTTCATATTGATATTTCACTCCAAAGCCTTAGGGCATGATTTCTTGGTTGTGCCACTTATGTCTGTGACAAATAGGAAAAGCATGATTGTTCAGTCCTTTATAGTGTGACTCTAATTATCAGCAAACACTTTATTCCTATAAGACCCAAGAACTTGCTGATAAGACTGGCCAGAACCTACACTCAGATTTTTCTACAGACCAGCACACATTTTTCTCTAATGGGAAGATGCAAAGCTAAGGTTTGTGCTGAACATGAAAATTTTCAGCTAAGTAGTTGTAGCTGTGTATTTTGGAGCAGGGTTATGGGGCACAGCTAGAAGGTGGGAGGCTGTGTGCACTGTCCATGCAGCCCCAAAGGCATCACAGAGGTACCTCTGGAACCATGTTACCCTCAGAGCATCAGTGCCAATGAAAGGTGCCTGTCAATTAAACATGGCAGATCCCTCACTAAGGGAAATACAGCATTGATTGCAGTTTCTGAAATTCAAGCACAGTATATTGTATTGATTAAGTCGGAAGTCATAGGGAAATAAGCAAAGAAATCCAATAAAACACCATGTACACCACTTGCCAATGCAAGGGGTAAAGAAGGTAGATACTGGCAATTGTTGCTGACATGGAACAAAATTATCATAAGTATATATTTTACCATTGCCTCTAGTTCTGTATCAGATTTAATATTTTGGTGCCTCTGTTCTTTTTTTGCTTTATCCTGTTCTTTTCTCCTAAAAGAATAGTGAGAATACATAAAACAATCATACTAGCTGTTCAAAAGAAATATTATTAAAAAATCTTTGGGATTTAGTATTCACATCCACCACAGATACAGTCTCACCAGTCAAAATTATTCATAATACTAAAAAGTCTGGCTAGCAAGCCTGCTAAACCTGTGTCCTAGGTCAGTTAGAAATGGTACCTATAGCTGCCTTTTGGAAAGCAAAAAAGGACTAGGGAAAAATCCTTAAAGTATTTTCAAATTACTTGATTCATGAGGTAATTTCTCCACTGGGGTATGCTGTATTTTAGGATAGTAAGACTGCAGTCTTACTGAAGTAAGTCTTCTTCCACTCTGGTAATAGTTACTGTAAGGTTATTCTTTTTCTGTTATGAATGAGAGACTCCATTTCTTTGCTGTCTGACAAAACAGAAGATATGGTGAGAGAATCTACTTCTCCTTTGCATTCCTACCCTAGATTTCCATGCACATGTTCTTGAAAGTGTAAAAAGTGTGAAAAGTTCTCTATGTGTGCAGTATTTGCAAATGCAGTCAAATTTCCCACCCCAGAAAGTCAAATGTTGCAGTAACCAGAAAAATATTTTAAGAAGTAAAGAAAATCAGGCTTGACAAGGGACATTCTTTTGAAAATTTTACTTCACCAGTTTTCCTTGGTATCCTGTTCAGGAATGATGAAGATTAATTTTAATACATAGAAAGTGTTTACTCTCAGTGTTGTTGCAGGGCTAGGGAATATTAAAGTATCAATCTGCAAGGGGCTACAAGGTAATGAGAGGGCCTCTACCATTATGTAATGCATAGGGTCATATAATAAATGACTTTAAGGCAAAAGTCTGAACCCAGTCTGTTGCAAACAAAAAAACAAGCTCTCGAAAGGAAATTATATGATACGGGCTTGTCTTTGATCTGCATTTAAACAGGTTTTCTCCCCTGCTTTTATTTTGCCAGTTTGATATGAATCTATGAACCAGTGAAGAAATGAAAGGACAGAACATACCAGCTGTTATCATCTATTTGTTTCTCATCAGTGCTACACTTTGGGGTAGGTTTTCATTATTATGAAAAATAATAAAGAAGACTGTTATTCCTAATTTTTATTAAGGAGAGTTAATGAATTCAAACACTGTTTATTAATGGTAAATAATCGATTTTGGGTAATGTAAAACACTTCTGAAGCAGAAGACTATTTTTCAGGTGGCTGCATGGATGGCTGTGGCCCTTGGGCACATTGAGCTCCCAGACTGTTGCCTGCCAATGTTTCTGCCCCACAGCTCAGTAGCCAGGGCTTTTCAGTTCAGACTGAAACGGTTTGTAGCAAATTAGCTGACTTTGTGTTGAGAAGACTAAGGAAAAGTAATTTGGATTGTTCTGCCAGATGAGCTGGAGAGGGCATCAGAATGTCTGAGAAGGCAGCTGCCCCTGGGCACTGTCTAACAGGTTGTCTGACCTTGGCCAAGAAGATCGACACGACAATGCTAAGTTAATGAAGTCAGTTTTTTAAAAGATTAATTTTAAATTGCTCCTGTATGCCAGCAAGGCCTAAGTTAAATGTTGACAGAAATGAGATGCTAGCACTTGTGTGAATTTGTGGAATGCACACCCTAATTATCTCAAGGGACTGGGACAGAGCTTCCTGATGCTGTCTGTGGTGGCAAAGCTGTTTCAAGAAGTTCTATCCTTCCCATCAGTTGCAGCACCATGTCTTTTTTTCCTGTGATGGTACAACTGCTTGGCACTATGTGAGGGTGGTTGGTAACATGGGGCATTGCAGCATGGCACTGTGAATGTTTGAACATGTAGGAAGCTGCAGCTCTGTGGACACACGCTTGAGAAAGCTTGGAGGATGGCAGCCTGGAAAATATTCTAGGCCAGAGCTTCTCATCTCTGTTCCCAGGTTGATAAACTATCTCAGTTTCAGTTAGGGAGATTTTCTCCCAGGATGATAACTTAGTCAAAATAGAGAGGAATTAATAACAAAGATAGGACACCTGTTGTGGTGCATGACCAGGCCCTGGGAAAGAGGTGTCTTCTCTCTGAACAAATAATCTTTTTTCTGCCCTTGGAGTTGTGAGTCATTCTATTTAAGCAAGTGTGGTTCTGAATAAAACTTGTCTCCTTCCTGTCCTGAGGGATGACCATGAAGCTGTGCCTTATTTCCATCGCATCTAAAGGGTTAATACCCCTTTCCACAGCTACACAGCTCAAAAGGCTTTTAAAGTCTAAGGTGGAAAAGATGTGTGTGGAAGCACACTTGAAGCTCAGGTGGTAAGGTGGCAGTGTGCTAATTTGAATATGTAGGTGCTTACTTGGGATCTCTATGTAAACTGATTAGAAGTTCAAAGAGCAGAGCTCTGTGTTATAATCCTGATTAAACTGAATGGACACCCTTGCTGTCCCAAGAGACTCATGTGACAGAAAAGCCATGAAAGAGACGATGGCACACCTACAAGAGCATTTTTTGTCAGAGATAAAGAAAGGCAGAAATATACCTGTAGACTTGATTAAATTTATTCATTTGTACTTATGGGCTTTAGGTTTTACAGAACAGGTAGAAGTAACAGGGCTGTTTTCCAAGGATTGCACCCTCCCTTGTCCTTTCCCACCTGGGCATGATGAAGTAATTCACTGGAGCAAAGAGAACAAAATAGTGCACAGTTACTACCAACAGAAGGATCAGCTGGAAAAACAAGATCCACATTACAGAGGCAGAACACACCTTTTTCATGAGAACATCCCTAGTGGAAATGCCTCCTTGAAACTTAATAACCTGACCATGACTGATGAGGGCTCTTACACCTGCTACGTGGGAACAGCCCAAGATCGAACAGAAGTGGAAGTGCTGCTACGTGTACGAGGTCAGTAAGACATCAAAACCCTTTGGTTTGCACCACTGCAAATGGGATGGCACCAGCAGATTTCCTTGTGTTGTTTCTTCCATGGAATCAAAATCAACCCAGCAGAGTGCCTTTTGGGTCTGATGGTGTTATGAAGCAATTTTTTTTCTCTGGTGAAATGTTGTAATGTGGATTGGAAAATTTTAGTACAGCACTTGTTTTCATAACCTACTGCACACTGGTTTCTAAGGGCAATTACATGGTACATATAATGTGGCTTCTTAGAACAATGCAAATCTTGGCATTGTAAGTAGCTGTGCTTTCTTCTGAAATCAAGCACAGATTGTTTTGTTCTAAGCTATATTTGTTCTCCTCAATGGCATTTCAAAAGAGCAACCACTTGAAGATAAAAACTATTTTGTAAGTAGTAGGATTTATTTTTTTTTTTTTTTCCATCTACAGCTCCTTCTTCTTATGCATTGGAATACCAAAAGACAAACACAGAAAGGAGACTGAAGTGCTATGCCTTTTTCACTTACCCAGCACCAAATATATCTTGGAAACAAGGCAATGTATCTGTCCAAGAGACAGATTGGGAGGAAACCAGGAATGGAGTTCTCCATTCTCTTAGAAGCGAAAAGGACATTATAAACACAACAGATACTTACTACTGTTATGTTCATTTCCATCATGACGTGTGGGCTGCTGAATGGAAGATGATGCAAGGTAGGAATGAAATCCCTTCCTGCATTGCTTCTCAATTTCACAGCTGGCTTCAGAGTCAGACTAAAGACATTCTTTCAGCAGTGGGGCAACATGCATATGGGACAGTGCAAAAGGATATACCTTTCTCTTTGAAATGCATTTGTTAGGATTACTTCGAAGAAGTAGGAATGAGAGGAGCTAGCTCACCTTTCTGTAAGTTACCTTTACTCTTAACATCTTTTCTATATCAGTTTCACATTTTAAGAGGTGCCTAATAAACAAACTTTGCCCTCTATCTATAAAAGAATTTTGCCTATTGGACAAAATACATTGAAACCTTAGAGAATGATGTGGGTTCTGTGAGGGAGGTGAGAGTTTGCTGCTGCTTTAGCTGCGTATGGTCTTTACTCTGTCCATTTTCCATCTTTGCCAGACTTTTATTGGTACTGTTTGATCCTTTCATTGTACTTCTCTTCACATGCAACCTTAAGTACCAATCTGAGTGCTGGGGTGCATGCAAACAGTTTGCATTTTAGTGAACAGCAGTTCATTTTGTTAGTTAAGGAAAAGTAGGACTATGAAATTTCAACTCTGCTTTGTCTTCCTCCTGAATTTCATTGGAAATTCAGTTCAAGTAAATAACCGATGCTTTTCAACCTCTCTTGTTTCTTAGGAAATATTTTTAATTGTAAGAAGAGCAATTCAAGAGCAGTTCCCTTGTGAGATGTGTATGGATGCTTCCATCACCCTGATTACCCTCTAAATTAACCACCCACTCTGTTCCTAACCCACTGCATAAGCTCCAGAACAAGAGTGCAGTTTTTAATTTACATGGAATAGCTTACAATATGGAAGGTTTCAAGTATGTCATCATAGTAGCTAACAAGTGCACTGTGTCTGTTTTGTTATCTATACCTCTGATCCACAAGAGAAAAAGGCACATTTCATTACACATGTATTTGCATTTCCCTGCATCCATCTAACCCCTCAGTAGCATATTTTGAAATTAAACTGCTTTGCTTTTGTTTCTGTAATAGCAGTGTGGGGTACAGTTTTGGTTTTGTCTTCATGATTTTTCAGCCCCATACTTCTGTTCATTAAACCCCTTCCCACAGAAATCAAGTGTAGTTATACCATGTCAAAATAATCTATTATCTTCCTCTCCAGCTGACTGCCAGCCACACTGCTGTCAAATCAGTAGTTGTGGTATGATGTTAATATGTCTTGTATTAGTATTTTATATATTAGGTGTTAATTCCACTTACCTGCCTCCTTCTTCCCTTTCCTGTTTTTTTAAAGCTATTCATTAATTGTTAAATGTTGAATATAGACAAGTAAAGTACTTAAGTCCACCATAGCTGAAAGTTATTGTAACTACATACAATCTTTTTATTCTTTTAGTTAAATTATGTTGTGTTTTATTCTTTTGCTTCAGATGTGCAGGTATGTGATCACTTGCATTTTCTCTCTGCTTCTAGCGTGTGGAATTTCCTGCTGTTTTACAGAGTAACCTAGATTACACTGAATCACTTATTAATGAGCCCCTCAATTAGAGGAAAAATAGTCAAATTTTACAAAAAAGATTTTCAGAAATATTATCAATACCAATTAGATTTTTTGTGTAAGATAGGTTTGTTTTAAAAATCTTCAGATGCTTCTGGAAACATACTGTGATATTTGAATATGATATCAAAGTAGTGAAATATGTTTTTGTATTTGTTCATGGTAGTATCAAACCTCAGAAAAAAAATCAGAAAATGTCTAAGTAACCTCCACAGTATTTTCCAAAAACGGTGCAGAGAGTTCTTTATCTGTTTCAGACCACCTGCATGAAGTGGAAGGAAGTCACACCACAATTCCTTGTGAACATGGCAATGATGCTGTGAGCACTGATGGTTTCAGTGTGGTCTGGACTTTACACAAAAATGGAGTGACCTCAGTCCTGGCCTCCTTCAATGGCACACCTCACTCTCACCAGCCTCGAGTCCAGATTGACAAAACTGACTTTTCACTGATGTTGGATTATCTCACTGCAGATGACAGTGGAGAATATCTGTGCAATATTTCAACACCTCTCTACACAAAACTTACTGTGAGCACTTTGCATGTTGGTAAGTTGCTGCTTCTTCCATTTCAGAGGATAAGGACCAGTTAGGACAATGTACAGCCAAAAAGCCAGAAATCTATAAAATACTGAGGAAAAACATCTTGGTGTGATTGGTACAGTTGGGTGGAAGAGTTACATATTTTATTTTTGTTGGATCAGGGAGAAAAAAAGTTACCTAAGATGGGTTTATTTGAATACTAAAAGTTTATTTTTTCAGTCAGCAGCTTATTGTGGCAAAGGTTACAAAATCAGTGGCTGCCACCAGCTGCTCTCATAGCTGCTCTCATAGCAGAGCTCTCAGAATTCTGTCCTAAATGCTCTGGTGACAGCAAACATAGCTCTAAATATAGCAGAGAGTTGATGGGAAGACAAAAGCATGTGGTATAAGTCGGGCTGCAGAAGAAAACTTATTGAGACCACAGTTGTTATTTTCAAAGCTTTAATTCTATGCAGCAGGCCTTTTTTAGGCCTGGGGGTATATATGTTTAAATGCATGCTTGTGTTTTTATGAGCTATAGTAAATTTCCAGCTGTGAAATCTTAGATACAGTTATTTCATTGTCAGTAGCACAAAGACATTTCACACAATTAAAAACAATCACCTAAAAGATTGAGAATTAATATAGGGCACCTTTTCTAAACAAAGAAGAGAACTTGAAGCAAGCCAGTAAGACATAAAAATAGAGGCAACATAACAGAAAAATGACTACAGATGAGTACCTTTGTGGCTTTCAGCACAGCCTGAAAGCAGATAAGCAGTTGGTGACAGTGGGGAATGGGCTGGACCATGTTGGATAGCTGTCATGGCACAGCAGCTGCTGAGCCATCAAAAGGGTTTCCAAGGGCCACTGGAAAGACAGCTTTTGAGGGGAAAAAAAGGGATGACTTTACAATCATTTCTGCTGTATACAGAAGGGTTGCAGCTTAAAGCTGCTCTTCTAAAGGAATTGGCAAGGTGTAAACGTAAGTTGGTAGTTACAGAGTCAAGCTAAGGCAATGACTAGATTAAATGCTCTGTCTTAGCAGTTCTTATTTTATAGCAGTTTTCCAGACATCCATAGGAAGTTTCCACAGGAATGTAGAATTTTTCAAATTCTTTGGACAAGACACAGCAGGGGAAACAAAACCTGAGGTAGAAGAACCATGCAGTTCTTCTAACAGTTTGGTGCTGTGCAGACTTTTCTTCTAGGTAGGCTTTGATCTCCTGTGGACACTGTGGTTATCACTCCTCTCAGGATTTCTTGTGTCAACCTGGATTGCAGGATTGCACTAGGAAGCTGTGCAATGTTTCATTGTTTTTGATTAAAGTTGCAAAGATTTTGCAGCAGGAGTCATGAAATTTATGATCCAGGCTGGATAACATTTACAGAGCTGCTCTACTGTAAATCAGCAGTGCTGTTTATGGCACTGAGCACCAAACCTGGAGACAGTGTTTAGCACACTGGGCAGTTGATGGGTTTTAAATGGGGCTTGTATTAAGAAGTTGTCAAATCCTATCCCATGAGCACACATGGAATTTGCTATCTGCACAATTAAGTAAAATAATCTGCTCTCTGCTATTCACACTTAAGTCAGTAAAGTATCACTTCAAAATCTTACAGTATGAGTCAAGTAACTTGAACATAGTTGTCCTTGTCTCAGTTTCCTTTTAATGTTTCTTTCTCCCTAAATCATATTTTTTTATTATAAATAAGAAAAAATCATTGCTTTGATGTATTTATTGAACCATAGTGAATATTTGTGATATAAAGCACTTCTGTTTTGTATTTGTATTTTTAAAGAAAATTCAGGTAACACCTTGATAATTGTGCTAGTAGTGGCAGTGCTAGCAGCGGTAGCAGTGGTAGCAGTGGCACTTTACTGTTTCAAGGTATGTACAATGATTAATTGTTTTTAAGGTACTGTTGATACCAAGCCCCTCAAGATTTGAATGAGGGCTTGAGCCAAACTTTGTGGCTTAAAAAAAAATTGGTAATCAGTAGCTGTAGCTAGATTGTTATGATTAAACAACTGCACTGTTAGCATTTTTTGCTAGGCTGATCTTTTGTTTTAGGAAAAACAAAGACAATCCCAATGTAAAGGGGCTGGCTGGACAAGGGCCAGGAGTGAAGGAGTTGACTTCACAAGTTGAAAGAACTGGGCAATAAGTGGGGGAAGGTAATTCTGGCAGTGGGAGACTGAAACCCATTGACCACCTCTTCAAAATGGACCCCCAACTGAAATTGAAGGGAAATACCTAAATCCAGACCTTGAATATTTGACTAAAACATAAATTTGATTTTCATGGGTTAAAGCACACAAGAAAGACTGAAAATGTAGGAAGAGAAGTTTCAGCATAAATAAATTGTTCTCATTTTTGCTATTTTTCTTGGTACAAAGGCCCTTTGTGGTGCATCTCTGCAATAGTATTTCAGTTTTAACATTGTCAACAAGCCTCTGATCAGATGCTCTTCTGTGCTTTACAAAAGGGTGAAAGAGTTGGTTACCCCTCACAAATATTTTCCAATAACTTGCTTAAAGAAAGATTGAATTGCTGAATTTTCTCACTTGTCTTTAAGACCAAAAAGAATCCAAAACAAAATGTGAAGTTTTTCAAACAATGCTCATACCTGGTCTTCATTAGGGTCCAAATTACTGTTTAATTGTATCCAGTGTCAAAGCTTGTTAAAACCTTCGTTTGAAAAGTGATACTAAATTGCTCTGTGTAGGAGGTCCTTAGAACCATATGGTCCCTGACCTCATCTCTCTGCACACCTCTCCTCTTTACTGGAGTATAGCATCTTCAAGTGGATGCATTTTATTCCCATGTGTTTATAATAGGTTGGCTCTATCTTAGAATATTTTGTCTCTTTCCTCTGAAATGGAAGTGAGTTTCCTTAAGAATCCAGACTTTAGTTCTTAGTCCATCCTTCTGTGCCTGACCCTATCCATGGAGAGATTTACCTTCAAACTCCTGTGTCTGAAGGTTTTGCCACAGTCTGGATTGGTAAGTTTCAGGTGACATATTATGATGGGCACAGCAAAAACACGAGAAAGAAAGCTCTGAAATGATTATGCCTCAGTCATTTTTCATTTTTCTCTCTATATGAAGATTCACTTACATGTAGCTTATTAAACAGTTGGAACATGCTTTAGAGATGATTAATATAATTTGAGATGCAGTCATCTAAACAATTTAAGCAAGATTAAGTTATCTTGGGATCCATTGAGCCCTCAAACATATTGTAATCAGAGGCAGTGGAACAGTTTACAGGTTAACTCAGCTCGGGTTATATTGATAGAGGACAAGATGGAAAAAACAGGAATGTTTCTGCACTATTGTCTGGATGCTTATTTTACTTAGATAATGCTAAAATGGGAAATGCTGACTTATCTTTATAGTGAGTGTGTCTTGTTCTGTTCCCACTAGGTGACTAATTTTACACATCAGTAGTTCTTACAAGTATTTTTATTTTGTCTAGAAAATACGGAAGAGAGGTGGGTGCGCTAACAGGGGACAATATTTCCCTGGGACCCCGGAGTCCCAATCAATCAACGTGGAAAGCACACGAGACCCCGTCAACCAAGAACTTATTAACAGAAAGGAAGACCAGAAGCAAGGGTGAGGAATGTAGGCTGGATAAGGGGTTTTAATGAACAGAAATGAGGGTGGGGTTTGGGCTCAGGAAGCAATGATAACAGAGTTGGGGAGGAGCATAAGGCGGAGTTTACACAACAGAAACCAATGAGGGAAGCAATGAGGGAGAATGGGTCACACGGGCCAATGGGGCCTCCTGGTTTAGGGGATCTCCAAACAGGGGCTTGGCAGAAGGGAGGATTGACAACTGGAGGGAGGAGGAACGGACAAACCATTAACATAAAAACACACCACAACAGAGAGAAGCCTTTTGAGCACCTTAACATACAGGAAGAAAATGGTTCTCTGCACACAGATACTATTGGGACTGGTGATGAAAAGAACAAAGAGTTCCTCCACCCATCCCCTTGAGTTACACTAAGAGCCACATGGAAATGTGATTTTCAGAGCAACAGTAATGGACAAATGGGGAGGAAAAAAAGTCAGTGGACACTTGTATGTGAAAAGTCATGTAGCAGGGCATCTCACCCCCACATGAGATTATCTGCTGCTTGTTAACTGGTGAGTTAACTCAAACCAGACAAAGTTGTCTTGTAGTGAGTTATTTTGGCAGCATGGGATTACCACTGGTCTGGCATCTCTCAGCTGACAATAAGCATCTTCCTCTGGAAGTGAGATCTTGTGGAAGATAAGATTTAATTAGCACATGCAGTTTGATAACCAAGATGCCTTAGCTTTGAAGATTACAAGAAGATTGAATCAAGACTGGCGACCGGAAAGAATATTGAACTAAGTAGAAATGTAAAGTTTGTCTGTGTGATGTTTAACCCAATGAACGTAGTAAAATAGTGCTAGTCTTCCTAAAAATGGTATATAAGCATACATAGCTCACAGTAAATTCGGATTCTGATCACAAATCAGGAGTCCCCATCTCTCAATCGTCAGTAAGATCTGGAAGGAGAAACTGGATTACTGACTGCCAGGCATCTACCTTTACCAACTGTATAAGTTACATCAAACTTTCAGAAAGCAGAAATCTGCACATTTTCCTGGAAACATGGAATTTCTACTTAGAACGCCTGCCTTGTGGTTACTCCTCTGGGGGCTGAGTATTTTGCTAGTATCAATATCATACGTTGTTTTGTGTAATCTCTTGGTAGTTCTTCTGTTTCATACTGTGTTGTAAGTAACTCTGAAGACCTTTCATGTATTACCTTCTGTGTGTTCAATAAATAACTCATTTTATTAATAGACCTGATCCGCCATCCGTAGAACTTGCAGGCCAGAGTGATTTCTTAAATTTAAGCTCATGCCAAAAATCTGAGGCTAAGGCAGGGCTTGTCTGAAGCTCCCACTCGTCCTGTGACAAGTCAGCATGCAAAATTGGATTTCCAAAAGGGACAAAAAAGTTTCCAGAGAAGAAGAAATCCCTAAATTGTGAGGTTTGTTTTTTTTGGTTTTTTTTTTCAGGACAAAAGAAAGAGAGCTTACTGGTTTTCATTTCATTTATTATTTTATTTTAAAGCAAAGATCATATCTGCTGTTGCCAGCGGTGAGTCCGAGCCCAGCAGAGTGTGCTGGGTTGGCAGTGGTGGAGGGAGCAGAGAAGTGTCAGAGTGGGAACAGCGGTGAGGAACAAAACCGTGGCAGACTGAGGTGTGAGGAGCTGAATGCTGCCAAGCACAGCCCTAGCACAGCAGTCTGGAAAATGGGCGGTGTGACATGGAGGATCCAGCTTCCTGGGTTTGTCCATCATTGTTTTCCATTGTCTCGGGCTCAGGGGTAGGACATGTTAGCTGTGGGAGCCTCCCCTGCCATCTGGCCTTTGTCCTGGGGGCTACATCGTATGTGGGAATGGTTGCCACCTTGTCCTTGTCTGGAAAAACATGTGGAGCCAACAGCACTGGAACAGCTGTCATCTTACCCTTGCTCTGAGGGCCGCACGGACATGACCTACAGGGAGTGTCTGCCATCCTGTCTTTGTGCCAGCGGCCACCTGGAGCTAAGTTAAGGTCGTGAGTGCCTTTTTGTGGATAAAGCATCTCTTTTTCTATACTTTTGGTATTAACATTATTGCTCTTTGCTTTCTTTAAACAGTCTCGACCCATAGTCTCTGCTTTTGTCCCTCTCTTACCAGAAAGGGGTGGGAGAGAAGGGGAGTGGCTTATTTGGAGTTTAAGTTTAGGAGTGGTTTATTTGGAGTTTAATATTCTGGCTGCTGTTAAACCACCATGGAGCAGTTCCCTGTTGAAAGGCAAAAACGATTTAAGGGAATTCTCTGAGCCACAGGGAGGTGTCCCTTGACAGCATCTTCTGTGCCTGTCCTGCAGCTGGCAAAGAGAAGTCCCTTTATGGGTGGTAGTGGAAGCTTATAAATTGACTGCTCATATGAAAATCTTTACTTTCTCTTCTCCTCCAAAGCTCAGGGTCCTGAAGGCAGGACAAATGGAAGCTGGGTTATCCCAGCTTTAAGAGCTGTCCGCTTTCACAGGTTTAATCTATCCTGGTTCCAGCCAGGACAGGGTTCTTTTGCAATAGCCATGAGGGTGCATGTCCATAACCCTGATGTTATTTGATACCACCCCACTTCATTGGGGAGTGAGGAGAGGGACCCTCTCTGGGGTAAAAGAGGTTGCTTCAAGGAGGGGTCTATGGTGAGCATTTCTGCATGTGCATCACTTTTGCACACTTTTAAAATTAACATTGTTTGTGCTACTATTAATTTTCTTATGTCATTGCTGTTTCCAGGAAATTGTTCTTAGTCTGTAATCTTTCACCTTTCATGCTTTCAAGTCCCAAGTCCACTCTGGGAGTGGAAAGGGAGAGAAAGGAGGGAGAGTGAGAGAGTGAACGGAGAAGTACTGTTCATAAACCAGGACAACTGCTTTAACAATCTGCATATGAAATACGTGAGGCTGTGAAGCATGACTGGATTTGCCTTTAGTTTTGATTTTGTCTGAGATCTGCCAATTAGGATTTTTCCAACATAATGAAGTCGGCTGTTGGCAAGATGTAATCTTCTATTGATCCCTGGGGCTTGGCAAAATAGAAACACAGATGAATGAAATACGCTATACAGTCTATTTGGATTTTCACTTGATGTTTATTTCTGTAAGTGCTTACTTTTTTTCTACAACTGCTTTCAGTTGTGCCTGATTATATCAAGTATTTTCTCATATCTGTCAGCTTGGACTTTTTTATTCTTCTTCATGAACCTGAAATGCAATTGAGATAGTATACAACTGTTAAAAATAGAAGTGTTAAGGGGTTTTAGTGTAAGTTCATAAGTAAAAGACAAAAGCTTCACTAATGCCTCTGTTCCCTGGTACTACCAGTTTGTATCTGAAATAGACTAGCAGCAGTCTAGCGAACATTTGCCATCTTATTCTAGCTAACAATGCAGGTATACTGTCTTTGTTCTAGATTACATAGGTCCTTTTGATGGCAGAGGACTTCTACAACCCTTTTTCAATAGATGGTGGTGCTCTGAATCACACGCACTCCCCAGAGTATCCAGGAAATGGGTACTGGTAGCAGTAGACAGGGTATTTCTAATGCTACAGGATTAAAGTTGTCTCTACCGTGCCCTTCTTTCCCCAAGGGAGATGTCATGATTTTTGGGACAGCAGTCTCCACCTGAATGTGTTTCCTGGCACACCCTTCCTGTAGAGCTGCCACCTCTGCGAGCACCACTGAGCTCATCTTTTGGCAGTGCAACACTGCTACATTGCCAGAGCTGCAATGGGTATTGGCAAACAGCATCTCACTAGTAAAAACAGGCATCACTTTCCTGTGACTTCTGCATATTTGAGGTAGAAAGACTAGTAAGGTACAGGAAATAAACAGCAACCTTTACAGTATTTAAAGAAATAAATTATTCTCGTGGTATACCTATTTCAATGTTTGTGTGATGCCATGAATCTATATTAATTTTGGGGGGTTTTTGTAGTGGTAGAATAATTTAGAAAAATCTGTTGACATTTTTTATCCTTAAAAGCTGCAAATCTTTTGAGGTTCTGTTACAGTACTTCTTCCATTGTACATAAATGTGTGAGAAATCAGATATTCAGGTAGTTTTAATGTATCTTTGCTCTAGATAGTGGAGCAACAGTCATTTATATCAGTCAAAGGTGACTTAATTAGGCCAATATAAAAACAGAAATTAAGAATGTAAAGGGATATTCTCCCCTTTCTTAGCTTGGGAGCTATCAGCTCCATAAA